ATTTCTTCTTTCTTTCCTTCCTTTTTGTTTTTGCCATGTTGATGATGTAACCCAGGGCCTCGAGCATGCTAAGCCAGTTGTGTACCAATAGGCTATATCCTTAATCCTAGGCTTCTAATCCCCTATCTTTAGTGTCGAAGGTAAACTGATGGGGAAGCATCCAGGCAGAATTTGGCAAAATCTGGAGCCTGGTGAGATGTAGGATGTTTGCTGAGAAAGGCCTATGGCCTACATGGTTGTGAGTTCCCCATGGGCGAGCAGGAAAACAGTGGAAGGAAGGAGGGAATGAAAGAGGGAGGGAGGGAGGGAGGGAAGGCAGGCAGGCTCGCTCCACATTGGGCCCTTTCTGAACTTCCTACAGTATATACTATTATGTATATCATCATCATACAACTGGTCCGTATCAGGGAAGCTTTCTTTGAAAATTCTAACAGAGTTGAGAAGAAAAGCCAACTTCAATGACAAGATTCAAGTAACACTGCAAAATCAGTAATAGAAAGATGACACAAGAAACTGCTTGGTAAGTGAATCATACAATGTGCAGTCTCTTGTGTAAGAGTACCTGGAGACACCCCAAGTCAGGGTGTTTCAGAAATGTTACACCAAGCAAGTGGCTCTGAGCACTTTATGACTGGAGATTGGGTCCTTTGTAGTTTCCCCAGGCAATTGAAAGGCAGGATCAAGAGGAGGCAAGATGATCCTGCAGGTGATTGAACCTGTTTGGAGGGAGAAAGGGATCCTTGGTGGGCTAGGGTAGAGGTGGGAGTGGCGGAAAAGGCTGGAATAGCAGGCTGAAACCAAGTTTGGTGGGTCTTCAATAAGCAACTTCTACAGTTGGAACTTCCTCTCATCTGTAGCCCTCAGCTGTCCTGGAACTCACTATGTAGAGCAGGCTGGCCTTGTACTCACAGAGTTCCACCTGCCTCTGCCTCCCAAGTGGGACTACAGGCGTGCGCCACCACGCCCGGCCCTCTCATCTTTGACTATCAAAAGATAGTCACTGATTTGTGCGTATGTGTATAGTATGTGTGGTGGTCAGAGGACAACTTGCATGAATTAGTTGTTTTATTCCACCATGTGGTCCCAGGGATTGAACTCAGGTTCTTAGGCTTGGTGGCAAATGCCTTTACTCACTGAACCATCTTACCAGCCCATTGTTTTTTATGCTTTTCCTTTGTCTTTTTGAGACAGGGTCTCCCTAGATTTCCCTGTGTACTGAGATTACATACCACACTGGTTTACTTTTTTTTTTTTTTTTTTTTGAGACAGGGTCTGTTTATAGCTCCAGCTGGCATAGGCTGTGTACATCGAGCTGACTCTGGCTCTTTTGGTCTTTTTGAGACAGTGTCTCCCTGTAGATCTAGCTGGCCTGGAACTCAAGAGATCTGCAGGCCTCTGCCCTCTGCCTCTCCAGTGCTGGGATCAAAGGCATGTACCACCATGCTCAGGCTCTGAATTACTTTTAAAAAATTACATTTAGGACTGCAGAAATGGCTTAGCAGTTAAGAGCACTGGCTGCTTTTGCAGATGACCCGGGTTCAATTCCCAGCACCCACATAACTGTCTTTGACTCCAATTCTAGGGGATCCAACACCCACTTCTGACCTCCACAGGCACTGCACAACACAGTGCACTTACGTAGATGCAGGCAATATTCATACAAAAAAAATTTTTTTTAATTAAAAAAATTACGTATGTATGTGTGCCTGCATGCAATGTGTGCACTAAGACATAACTGTGGAAGCCAGAGGACAATTTGCTAATTAGTTCTCTCTTACAGTGTGATTTCTGAGGATTTAAACTCAGGGCATTAGAAATCGTGGCAAGCACTTTTATCCACTAAGCAATCTCACCAGCCTTGTTTTTGAAATAGGGTCTCAAGCAATCCAGGCTAGCCTTGAATTTGCTATGTAGTGGAGGCTGAACTTGAACTTTTTAAAATATTTTATGAGTGTATTGCCTGCATATAAGTGCAGCCATGTCCTGCACTGGAGGACAGAAGAGGCTGTTGGATCCCCTGGAACTGTAGTTTTGGACAGCTGTTAGCTGCCATGTGGGTGCTGGGATTCAAACTCCAGGTTTTCTGCAAGAACAGCCAGTGTTCTTAACCGCTGAGCCATCTCTTCAGTCTCTGAACTTGAACTCTTAATCCTTGTGCCTCTCCTTCCCAAGTGCTGAGATTACAGGTGTGTAATCTGTTTTTGTGTGTATGTGTGCCAAGTGTACCATGGCATGCAAATGTGGTGACCAGAGGACAACTTGTGAGAATTGGCTCTTTTTTTTTTTTTTTTTGGTCTTTTTGAGGCAGGGTCTCCCTGTAGCCCTAGTTGACCTGGAACTCTCTATGTAGATCAGGCTGGCCTTGAACTCAGAGATCTGCCTGCCTCTGCCTCCAGAGTGCTGGGATTAAAGGCATGCGCCACCATGCCCACATCAACAACCTATTATTCTAGGCTGGCTAGTAGTGGACAAGTGAGAGGTCAGGTATGAAGGTTTGATGATGGCAAACATAAAGGGGAGCCAGGCTGGTGCTTGCCTTCCATCCCAGCACTCAGGATGCAGAGGCAGGTGGACCTCTGTGAGTCCGAGGTTGGACTGGTCTACATAGTTCCAGGCCAGGCAATGCTCCATAATGATACCATCTCAGAAAAGACAGGAATGAGAAGGGAGGAAAGCAGAAAAACAAAGGGAGTAAAGAATGTTAAGGATATGAAGGATCAGAAACAAATGTGAAGAAATGCACTATCATTTAGTGATGCACGCCTGTAATCCCAGTACTTGGGAAATGGAGGCAACAGAATCAGTTCAAAGTTCTATGCTGCCTACAGAGCTAGTTGAGAAGCTAGCTTGTGGTACACGAAGCCCTGTTTCAAAATGAAAGTGTGTCAAGCCAAACTATGATGAACTGCCTAAGACCACAAATAGTTCGAGGAAAGCAGAGCTTGGTGGCTCACGTCTGCAACTCAGAACCACCAAAGCTGAGGCAGGAGGACTGCTTCGTTTGAGGCGAGCCTGCACTACAGAGAGAGACCCTACCTATCACAAGACAAAAGTTCATAGAACATTTCAGGTGCTGTGGTAAATCATCAGTTCTCACAACCTATCTAGCTGAGCTTGATACACGGAAAAACAGAAGCCTTAGCGTTTAGATGCGATTCAACCCGCTCCCTCCCCCACTCCCGTGAGAGGAAGACTTAGTAATTTAAGATTAGTTGGTTCGGAAAAGACATTTGACTGTAGCTTAATAATTTCAATGTTTGTCAGGCGTAGTAGTGCACACCTTTAATCCCAGCACTCAGGAGGCAGAGGTAGAACTCTGTGAGATCGAGGCCAGCCTGGTCTACATAGTTCCAAGGTCAGCTGGGGCAACAAGGAGACCCTGTCTCAAAAAAAAAATTTTTTTTTTAATGTTTGTAAATGCTGCTTTATACAGGCACAAACAGGTTCTTAAAATGATCAGAATAGGTGCGGGAGAAATTACCTGGGCCCCTCACTTCTACATCTATCACATGAACCCTTTCCTCCCGCGGGCTATTATTCTCTCCAGGTTGAGCCTATCACAATTTTGGGTGCACGTCAGAGGCGGCATTTCCTAAGAGGTGATTAGATAACCAGCCAGGACTCACTCTCTCAAGACTGGCGCAAAATGCTGTAGAAATACCCAAGTGCGGTGGCCAAGCCAAACAGCTGAGCCTTCCCTGCAGTTTTCCCAAACTTTTGGGCTGTTTTCCGAGGTGACTTCCCCCTTCCGGTTTCGCAGAATTCCAACGTCCTAAATGGCAGTTAACATTTCTAAAGCCCAGGGCCGCAGCACCCTCCCCTCCAGGGGCACAATCCCTGAGCCAGGGCGTTGCAGGTCTCCACCCCCACCCGGACACCAGTCCCCGCGTCCCCCGCCCGGTCCCCATCCCCCAGCCTCCTGACCACTTTGTGCGCACTCGGGCAGGCAGCTCGGAGAGCCGAGGGCAGTCGCAGAGCTCCGCGCCGGTCTCCTCCAGGGCGCCTGCACGTGTCCATTCCCTGGGGTGGCGCGGGGGGGGGGGGGGGGGGC